GGGAGAAAGGAAGAGAGGGGGGTGGGGGAGAGATGGGAAGAGAGAAAGGGGAGAGAGATGGGGCAGAGAGAGAGGGAGAGAGGGGGAGAGAAAGAGAGAAAGAGATAGGAGCGAGAGGGTGAGGATAAAGAGAAGCTGTGCATGTGAAGAATGTGAATGTGTGTCTGTGTGAGTATGTGAGTCTGTGTGTGCGTGTGTGTGTGAGAGAGAGATTGTGTGTGTGTGTGTCTGTGTGTGTGTGTGTGTGTGTGTGTGTGTGTGAGTGCGTGTGTGTGTGTGTGTGTGTGTGTGTGTTTGTGTGTGTGTAAAGAAATATGGCAAGCTTTTCAAGTTGCTGAAGGTTATAAGTGTGTACAAACAACCTTTTCAAATTTTACTCACATAAGCAGGATATTGATTTACATTTCAACATCATAATATTAGTATGTTGCAAAGTTAAATGCCTCAATTCAGGAATAGAGAGAAATATAAAAAGTCAAAGCATTAAATTTCACTCAAGATAGTATAGGCAGAGACCTAGTAATGTTGACATAATGTCTCTGGAATAGGTTAAAGGTTTAAAACCGCACGTAAACACATTGCTAATACTCATTACAGCCTCTCTCTCACTCTCTCTCTCTCTCTCTCTCTCTCTCTCTCTCTCTCTCTCTTTCTTTCTCTCTCTCTGTCTCTCCCTCTCTCTCTCTGTCTCTCTCTCTCCTTCTCTCTGTCTATCTATCTATCTATCTATCAATATCTCTATCTCTCTATCAATCTAGCTAGCTAGCTAGTTATCTATCTCTCTTTCTCTCTCACTCACACACGGACACAAACACTCTCTTTCACTTTTTTTCTTTCTCTCACCCTCTATGAGTGTCTTTCTCTCTCGCATGCATACACACACACACACACACACACACACACACACACACACACACACACACACACACACACATACACAAACACACACACACATACACATACACACAGACGGCTCACGTATATATATCTACGAAAATAACAAACACTCTTTTAGGAGTAAACTGAAAGACAACGCTGGCTTCCACAAAGTTTGTAAGAGCTCTTCGTACCAGGCAAAAACGTTGATGGGTTGAAAGGCCCCGACAAGGTTTTCTGGCGACCCTGCAGAGGAAAAGAATGCGGCGGGAAATAAATCAATCAAAATGCAATTTTGTACAAGGGACGTAACTGTGTAATAAAGTACAATATCGTTATAATATGTTACAGTTGTATGGGTTACTGCCCTTTTCTACACTGTGCGTCCTGTTGAGTTCGTTTTGTTTAATTAAGTACAGAAGTGCACACTAACACTAACACGGTCATTAAGTGCAGGGGAAAAGTGAGACGCATAAAGAGAAACAAAAGATGGAAAGGAAAAAGGTAGAATCTACTAGAGGCCACCTCCAACCACCCATTTTAAAAGTTTTAACGTCCATAAAATTAAAATCCAATAATATGACGGAACTAAGCGAGTGGGAGACTTTTTTTAACTCGCCAAGCAAGCCAAGCTCAAAAATACCTCTTCAAAACAAGATCGCCAGCTATATAGCCCAGCACAAAGTCAACTGATAGGAGGTAACAGAGACAACATACACACATAATGTATCTAATGCAAAGCAGTGCTCGGTAAAAGATCAGATTCACCACGTAATATTGTAATGGTAACAAAAGATGAATGATAACTACATTTATCACGAACACGCATGGATTTAAGGCGAGGGGGGGGGGAGAGAGAGAGAGAGAGAGAGAGAGGGGGGGGAGATAAGGAGAGAGAGAGCGTGCGCGTTGGCGCGCGCGCGAGAGAGAGAGAGAGGGGGGGGGGGGGGGGGGGCCCGCACCAAACTACTCCGGCACAACAGCGGGGGGGGAAAGAAAAAAAAAAAAAAA